AATTTAAGTCTAAATAGCTTTCTTATTTTTATTTTAATTATTATTAAATAATCATCTTTATTATCCATTTATAATACAGTAATAATATTCTCTACCTCTTGGTACCCCTTCTTGTTCAGCGCCTAGCAGCCTCCCCCACCACATCCAGTCACTCAGTTCAACTACTCGCAGGGGATAGTCTCGTAAACCGATATCAAGGTGTTGCACGTTTCCTCTAACCACACGGCACCAGAGAGTTGTAAAATTAATGTCATCAGGTGGGGGAACACTGAAACACAGAGCATTGGGTAATTGAATGGGGTATTATATTGTTACTATTGGGTAAGCAGTAGGGGTGTCAACATCAAATATTTTTTCCCCCAGGTTACACAAACCTAAGGCGATGCTGGTAATCTGGAATGGGTTATTTCATTATTTTTTTAGGTAAATTTCACAAGAGCACCTTCAAGATTGTGCATACGTTCAGGGAATTTAAAAGCGAAATTAATGTTTCCATTATTTTTTATTATATTCGAGGGGTAACCTTTTTTTAAAAACATTTATTGGTTTATCAAGGTAAATTCAAGCCACCCAATAAACTGACTTTTAAGTTTATTGTTACCTACCTAGAATGATCTATTTCCTTCATGATATTAATTATATTTTTTTTACCATTCATCGACGGATCTGCTAATATAATTACTTCCATGTCATCCACGGTTAGCGTCATCAATGCTTGTCGCATTGGAGTGTTCGCGTACAGTTTCTGAGAACGCTTTATGTAGATGTCAACATTCTTCTTTGCCAGAGAGGTGTACAGTTCTGATATTTTGTTTGCTATTAAATATTTAAAAAAAATAAAATAAAAAAATAAAAATAAATTTTCAAATATTTATTATTACAAAAACTGTGCATTTCAATGAGGACAATTTAAAAAAATTGTGTATGAAACACATCGGCAAAAACAATACATTTTGATGGGCTTAAAATTAAAAAATTTTAAGTTATTGTTAATATATTATTACTTTATTATTAAGTATAATGCTATATTATTACTGCTATTATTCTTATGATTATTATTATTATATTTACTGGTTTTTTTTTTATTACTGCTTTACAGAAATTTTGAAGTTCACACTCTTTATTTTCTAAATTATCACTATATAACTTATTACATTAAATAACAAAGTCATATTATTGCTATATTACTATATTACAAATATATATTACAAATATTATTTTGGTTATTATTATTTTCTATTTTTAATATAATGCTATATTCAAGTATATCACTTATGGTCTTTTGTTTATATCACATGACTTGAAAGAGAACAATATATATGTATTATGTATGAAAATATACATTACGGGTGTAGATATATGCAAATAGTTGTGGCTATGCAGAATCAAAGTTCATTAAGTGAATACACGACACACATACATGACAGAAGCTCTCCATGGTTTTGTCTCAATTCAGCTACTTTGCAACCAAGAACATCCAAGCGACGGGCGGCCTCCATGTACTCGTCCTTCATCAGATCAAAGTTATCGCCGATCTTTACTTCAAACGGATCATCATGAATCCTTATAGCCACTGACTGTTAACAAAGAAAATACTTTGTAATCTGTGTTATTTCAAAATAGTTAAATAGTTTTATTGACAATATTTAAGATGTCTATTACCAAATCTTAATGATATACTGTCTTTGGTAAAAAGACTTTCAAGTAAGGCCTGTGGAGAATATATCCTCCAAGCAAAGAAGTTGACCTAGAAAAACTGTCCATGTATTTCAGAAAATAAGGCAGGATTTCCCTGCAAATTTTGCTTAAAAATTAGGCCTTGATCTATCTTTTAGTACATAAAAAATCTATTATGCAGTAGCTTACAGTTCTGCGTACCTATTTTCCAGGCGGTTTTCTGCACAAATTTGAGCAAGATTTTGATATATCATCAACGCAATTAAAACAATTTACAGTATGGTAAAGTTCAGTTAAACACATATTATTAAAACATTAAACAGTTTAGTATTTGCTATTTACATATTAAGCTACGTTCACATCAAGCCCGGATTCCGGTCCGGAGTCCAGACCGGAATCCGGGCCCGGTTACGATTTCCGGTTGTGCATTCACATCGCGTCCGGGGAACAAAGCATCGGGGGTCAAAGGAAGCAACCAAGTGGAACGACGTCAACACAAGGGCAACCGCCTACGGTGATGTCGAGGATGTTCCCTTGCTGTGGAAGGCGTAAAATTTAGAAGAAAAATGAGAGATCCGAATGGGTCAATTCAATAAACTGAGTAAGACAGACCCGTGGACCAAACAATGTTGATCGTGCTTCTGAGCCTGACAAATATTTACAATTTCTGTATTTAGGTAGGCCCTAGGCCCGCCTAACTAGCTAGCTAGCGATCTTAATTGTACTTTATCAAATACATTTAAGAGTATTTTTCCAGTCTGAGAGAGCACCATTTCTGGATATCCAGAGGTCCTATTTGAAAAAAAAAAATCTCATTAGGATACCCCCTCCCAAACCATCCAAGGCCCTCGGATGGCAATGCGTGCCACAGTTATCCTTATTTCACTCAGCCCCCTCCCCAAAAAATACATCCTACAGCAGCCACTGTATAACACTTAATCCTATCTAAACTACTTTATGTTGTTGACTCTATCATGAACTATAAGCTTACCAGAAAATTTATTATAACAATATTTATAGCATACCACTAATTTTTTTGGGGAAATAGTTGAAATTTTTGTGAAAGTTGGTATTTTTTACAAGGCAGTCATGAAAGAAAAAAGGAGTATATACTGTCCCTAACAAATTAGGAAAAATTCTGAAAACAAAGTGCTCATTTGAATCATAATCAAATTTTGATTTACATGGTCATTAATGTCAGCAAAAACATATATTTTTGCGACCTTTCTTATTGACAGTTTTGTGATCATTATAAATAAGCAATTCAAATTGAAAGTGCAACTATTTGTGAGGAACAGTACATTTTTAATTAAAACAACTAAATCAAAATCAGAGTAAGCATACAAACAACAATTTTGACATTGTACAACAGAATCTTTTATTTATTAACAATTTCAAATTTATATACAAATTTTTCTCGTGTTAAACCAGATATTATTTGAAAATTACCGACGTTAGCAAACTATGTGGAATTCAAATTTGGAAATATTATTGTAATTTTAATATTGACCACTAATTAATAATTTTCACAAGGTTTAACTAACCATATATAAATAATGTAATTAAAATATTATAATCCATATTTTATTATTGAAGCCAATGGTTCCGGTGGTGGAACAAGTCTTCTCTGCTAAGGACTGTAAAGCGTAGGCCCGACGTACACATTTGGCTCGTGTGCACTTTAAAGAACTCAGTACATCCTCAGAGAAGAATAGGGGTTACCCCGGTGTACTGCTTCATTCAGTCCGGTCGTTTAATGGATTTGCCAAGTAGGATAGTGATTAAGTTCACTTTTTGGCATATCCTTGGCGCTCGTGCCTAAGAAATGAAATGAAATATTACTAATTTTTGACTTGGACTTGTTTGGCCTTGGGAAGTCTGTGCAGAGTTTGTTTTATAGACTCAAAAAAGCTGGCCAACAGATCTTTTTCCTTCTTTGCTGTCAAATACTTCATTATTTTAAAATTCACATATTTGGTTTTCACCATTTTCCTTTTCAGTGGTATACTTGGGCGAATTTTTCTCTTTTGTGGGGTTCCCTCTACTTTATCAGCAACTGTTTCACTTCCACTACTGCGACTTCAATGTTATGCAATAGGTGTTCGCATTGTTTCATCATCTATCGATAAGTTTCCAGTACTTCTGAAACAAAATAAAACAAATTCTGCTTATAGTAAATTGTAATACAATAAAATATTTTTCAAATACTGCATCACATAGTCATAAAGTTTTTATGCCTATAAAGTTTTTATAAAAATAATTCATTGTTTCTCTTTCAGTTTTTCAATGAGTTGGAATCTTTGAATTTTTTTAAATTGTAAATATTGTACTGCTCTTGTGTGAATTATATTACTAGTCAGTATAATTTGCTCAGCAAACTATGAACTGGCTAAACAATGATAAATAAAATAAAATTATTAATTTTATCAATTATTGTTACTTGTATAAATAATTTGGGTATGTAATTTATAATTTGCATTGTTCATCCACTGTTTCAATAACTACAATTTGTTATTCAGTATTAGGCTACACTATTTATAATTTTTATGATGATACATTGCGAGTAGACTCTGCCAAAACATGTTCCTTTCATAGAGCCTAGTAATGACCAGGCCAAGTTAAATCTCAGGCTACGCCTGATATAAGCATTATATATTTCCCTCCCACACATCATTTTTCCCGGCTGGTATCCTTGTTGTAGTGTTTATCTGCCAGGTTAGGCCCCATAAAAAATTATTTGTTTATCACCCTATCAAATCAAAGTATCAAAGAAAAGACTGATGAGGGAGGGAGGTTTTGGGTTTTTTTTGTTTTTGTTTTTTGGGGGTTTTTTTGCGAACTCTGCCTCCATATTACCGATGTTCACAAGTCAATGGTTAGGGACACATATAAAAAGTCATAATGCAATCAAATTTATATTTTTTTAAAAATATGTTTTTGTTGTACCAGTAAACATATTATGATATTTGCAAGAAATCCTGAGCTTTTCAAGGGAAAAAAGATGGAAAACCAACCATTTGAAATAAAAATATATGTTGATTTAAAAAAAGGCCGTGCGTGCGTGTTCCGGCCCCACAGACGATAGGCCCTCACCTCACCCCTCTGCTATCTAGGAATCGAGCCTAGGCTAGTGCCGTGGGGTCTGTCATCTGTCTGCAGGAAATGCGCAACTTGGCTAGCAACTGCTGCTGTCGTGTTTTTTTTACTAGCTAAGCTAGTCTAGGGACCCTAGGCTGGGCCGGATAAACGCTCTCTAGTAGGCTAGAGCCTAGACCTACATACATGGCCTAGGCTATGGCCTAAGGCAAGTAGAGAGCTGAGAAGTTCATTTAACTTTATTTTTAATACGAAAACTAGAAATATACTTATCTTTTTTATTGAATGTTGTTTTATGTGTGATGCAAGTTACGCCTAAAATACAACATAAAATTAAAAAGCAAAAACAAATCCCGGCACGGCACACAGTATCTTTTCTCGCGCTGACTTTTTTCGAGCTTTTCAGTTCAGGAGCGAGCTAGCTAGCGTTGGGGTCATTTACGCTTATCGCTGATTGGCCAGAAATAAAAATCCGTTCGGATTCACGTTTCCGATGGCTTTCTGATCCATTGCTCCGAATCCGGAGTCCGGGGAAAAAATCGGACTGTGTAAATGTGAACGCTTCTATTCTTTACCACTAAAGCCATTTCTCACGATTTTTTCTCCGGACTCCGGACCGGAATCCGGGCTTGATGTGAACGTAGCTTTATACTATGAAAATCATTAATGAATTAAATACCAGTTTCTCAACTTGGCACCTATATGGTTGGGTTAAACTGTTGCAAATGAAATAATATGATGTTGTTAATGTGATAATCTTTACTGTATACTAACAATACTTAGCTTACTTTCACCCTAAGGACAAAATCAGCATACAGAGGTTCATCTCCTTGTCTCTTCTTTCTGTGCAACATTTTCAACCATTTATTGATATTGATAATCTAAGTTGGAAAAAAAGTAATTAATCATTTTAGTTTCACATATATTGTATGGAAGCTCAACAGGTATTGGCTATGTATTTTGTAAGCTATGTTAGCAGTGATTGACTAACTATTTTGTATGTTATCTCACCAGTGATTGGCTAACCATTTTGTAAGCTATGTTAACAGTGATTAGCTAATAAGTTTTTATGCTATCTCAACCAGGATTGTGTATTTTTGTACACATTCTTAGAGTAGGACCTTTATAAAAAGTTGAATGAACTCACAGCACTGTAATTGTCAGCAAAGTCGTATTCATATGGAAAATCAACCTCTAGAGAACCTATGGTAAGACCCCTGAAGAGAAACAAGGGAATTGAATGTTATTATAGCGAGTTATTATCCATCACCAATAATCATTATTCTTATTGGTGTGTCATCATTGTCATTAGAATTGTCATCATCACTACTATTCGTATATTAACCACATCATTTCACAGTCATACTTCGTACATTACCTATTACCATTACCACAAACACAATTAAACACTTCCCCAGGGAAATAATAGATATGGCAATGGATAATAAATATGTATTAAATTAGTTAATTCTGTTGTTGAACAATATAGGATATACTGTATACAATTTTTAAAAAATTTTCATTTAATCATTCTTATTACCATACCATGCCTGGCCATGGCCAATGTCGTCATCATCATCATCACCATATAATCATTAAAAAAAAAAATCAAATATATACCAGGCCCTGTTTGAGGATGCGGTCAGGTGCTTGGAGTTGCTACGTTCTTCCAACAGTTGAGGGTCATCTACCAA